AATATTTCCGGTCAGGTAGGAATAATCAGATTTCGACAAAAAATTTTAATAACGCAAAGAAAAAGTATCAAATGATTGGGAAAAAATAAAAGTAACTCGCATATCACATAAATGGAGAGCAGTCGAGCTTTGGTCACAAAAGCTATATAGTAGAAAATAAGGTGAGAGACATGCCATTTGCGAAAGACATTATGACGAGTGCAATAGGGTGAAACATTTAGGGTTACATAAAAAGAATTTGCTGAGAGAATATTGTAACCGACCCGGAGGCGTAAATAAGACAAATGACTACTTGAAACCGGAAACAGGAAAGTTACAAAAGCAAGGATGAGATGTTATGGAAGAGTGTATGGAGCAATAGGAAGTGGCATGGAAGAGTTGAGTATAATATGTTGTTTCCGTTCAAATTTCATAATCACTTAGAAAAAGGGAACAATCCGAAAAACGGTATTTTGAGAGAAGACAAAATAATAAATTACAATAAACAATAGTTAACTAGAACACAACCGCTTACCGAAAATTCATAATGACTTGACGGACATAATTTATGTAAATCTGTCAAATCTTCTTTAGAAGCTTTGGATAAATTATTGTAAACTACCATGATAATTGATGTGAAATTGTTTAATATCGATAAATTGCATAGAATTTTTCTCAAATATAAATTTGTCCAAATTTTAGCTTGGATATAAAAAAAAATAGACTGCTATAGAAAATCTGTAGCCGGATTAGGAATTGACGAGGGAGATCCTATAAAATGGATGTATTTCAGAGTTTGGTTGTACCAAAATTGTGTTGTACAGTGTGATTACGATTAGACTCTCAGTAAATAAAGGATATTATGATAATTACCTTATATGGCCTACGGTTAAGGACGAATAACCTTGTAAGTTTAGACAATTGGCTGTGACACGTGCTCTTATGCCATAAAAAGACTAATTGAAAATGGTTGAACTTACTATACGTGCTAGAAATTCTGCGTAACATATTTTTTATGAGCTATTAAGGGGGTTTCAATAATTAACACAAACGATTCGTGGGTATGTGTTTAATGAAAACAAATAGTCACCGACTGTTATAGGTCATACCGCATTAAATTAAGTTATAATATTATGTTATACACTCAACGGTAATGCGCGTGAATAATACTGGCTTATTCGATTAGATGTACTATGTAGTTCGAAAGACCTAAGCCTGAATTAAGGAAATGGCCTATGGAAATTCGAATGTTCAACTTAAACGCGTATTAGCGATACAACTTCAAGGAAAGACCAACATACAAGGTCCCATTCTTAATACACCGCAAAAACAAATGTTGCTGTGTCCTACCATAAATCATTGTCAAAACAAAACCTGGTTAGCAGAATTGTGATATCCAAATGGCATTCGCAAATTTGAAAGATCGCCAATTATCAAGTTTATAATATGATATAAAAGTATTGTGAAAATTATTATGATGTTCTATACTTCTACAATGAAAAATATATTATTAGAATATGTTTAAAATGTATTATTTCTGCGTTGAAATATTGGCATTAAGAGACACTAGTCTTTAGGAAATTTAAAGATTTTTAAAGAGTTTACGAAAAACCCTAATGAAAATAAAAAGAGGTTTTATGATACCACAGAAAAAAAACTATGTACATTTTTACAAGTTTGTGTATATTAGTATTTTTAATGATTCTCTTTATGACCTAATCAAAAATCTTTTATTCTGAACTTAAATTACAGTCTTTAAGTTGTAATATTTATGTAAATCTCTGTATATTAATACAACCTATAATCTTGGTTCTTTTATATTATATTATTTTTTTAACTTATAGTTTATACAAATTGATCATGGACCTTACTAAGGAAAAATTAAATTAATATCCAATTGAATAATAATGTTAAGTAATATTCAATCAAAACAGTACTTTTTCCAGAAGTATAAAGAAAAAGCATCAATTTTTTGAGATGAAGTATATTGTCTTTCTCTTAGAAATATGAAATAATTTTGAATAATAGGATGGTTGGCAATTACTATTATCTTACTTGCATTTCAGACCGTTAATTATTCGAATTATTCAGACGGTTGGTTTTATTATTTTTTAGTGAACAGCAGCTTTCAAAAGACAAGGATTTCTTTTGTCTTTCGAGAATTCCATTTCACTAATTGAAAATGTACAAAACAAAGAAAAGCTAATTGCATTTCACTTATTGATTTGACTTGAATATGTAGTGAATTCGTTATAATATTTAGAACAATATAATAGACATTTTTATTATATTTAAATATCCTTAACATAATTTTAATTCCAAATATCTTGTTATATTTTTGAGTTTAGAAAAAAAAATGAAATAAAATTATAATACTCATAATATAATATGATATTTAAAATATTGTAATTAATAATTCTCATTTTATTTTTCATCATTACTTTTTTGTATGAATCTATAGTTTCTTTATAATGTGAATATTAATGTGTTATAGTCTAACCCGTCTTAAGCCAACTGAGAATTAAGCGAAGTTCCTAAGCACATTTTAAAGGAAAGGAAATTCATTTAATTTTAAATAAATTAGCATTATATTATTACAGCTATAAAATGTTAGATAACTATGTAATTTGTAAAGCTGTAGAAACAAATTAATATATTTATTGTTTTAAACTATTATAAATTTTTTTTTACACAAAAGGTGTTATGATATAATTAAGAAAATTGATGGTGTTTGTGCTTATATAAATGCATATATAATTAATAATTAATTACGGTCCAGGCAATTTATAATTTACTTGATCTGTTATGTATTGTATACAACTGTAAACAGGTACTTATGTAGAAAAACGCAAAATATGTTTTAAAAATTTCAAGTTTCAAGGTTAAGTAAAATAAATAGTATTTAAATCTTATTATTTGGAAATTTATACCTATTTTGTATAAATAAATTAAAGTAAAAATATTATGAGGAGTTACTACTTAAGAGGACTTGGGCACCATCCGTATTTTGGCCACAAAACTCGTTGTGCGGTGGACAAGGTATTTGAGTTGTACTCTCAGTAGAACTACAAAATTGTTTGCAGTACACAGAGAAGATCTTTGTCGTAGCGTTTTTATTTATTTTTTTTGATAATTCTAACGCAATTTAGATTATTTATTCGTAAAATTTGTTTTTCTTTTTTTCATTTGCTTATTAAAAGTTAGTGAGTATTGAAAAAAAAATCAAAACGCTACTACACAGATAAAGTTATCTTTTATGTTTTGGGTAAGTTTGAAATTTTCTGCGAACATTGACCTCATATCGCCGCCCCGATAGAACAATGACTCAACTGCAAAAATTGAAATTTTATAGAAGAACGAAAAAACCAAATTATTTTCACTAAAATGTTATGGGATGTAATTTTAATGGAATGGTAATGCTTGGGAAATTATTACAACTACAGTTACATCGTTTTGCTACCTTATGCGTTGGATATATTTAAACACATTGAAGCATTAAGCCCATTTTACCAAATTTTGCAGTTAGGTCATTGTTCTACCGGGGCGCCCATATTATGTTTGTCCCTCGCAAAGCATTTTTGATGGGAAAAATTTGCAATTTATTCAATAGAAATAACTATCTGATACAAATATGACAACTCCTCACTACTGCATACACTATATTTCAAGCTATAAATTAAGATTTTGCAAAAAATTACCTATAATTTACTCCTTAATAAATAGAGGGTATCACGTCCTCTTAATGGTTTTACATTCGTATTGATTTTATTGATACTTTTTTTTTTTTTTAATATAGAGTTTTTTACTGGTGGCCCAACATTTTTATACTACCTGTTACCCAAAAATAAGAAATCGTTCACCAAAATACTATATCATTGACCAAAAGTTGACAAAGTTTACCTTTTCCTACAAAAATGAAAAAGAGTACCCTTAAATTTACTTCACTCTTTAACCGTCAAACTTTATACGCTATAGGGACATTACAGAAAATAGTCAAAAAGTTTGAGTTTGTTTTGAATACTTTTTATAGATTTTTATAATGTGCTCCCATTGCATATTAATCGACAATTAAATAACATGGAAATATATTTCAATTTTAATTCAAAGCATTAATAGATTGCCCGTAACAAATATTTTTCGATAAAAATTGACACTAGGCTAATATTTTGTATACTAATATTTAAAAACAGAATAAGAAACTACTACTTATTGATGCTTATTAAAAGGGATGTCCCAATTTTACAACACAATATTGTAAATTGATTAATTTATGTTGTGATTATAGTTTAGTATTTAACGTTTACAATATTTGATATAAAGTAACTATTATGAACGCCAACAAGTATTAAATCACTAGAATAAGAATACTGGTATTAAAGTGGACGATTCATGCGGTACGACACGAATTTAGTAGTGGTTTTCTTAAAAACCGCCTAGGTTCTCTTTGAGAACATTACCTAACGAATCAAAAGTTAGCCAGCACAGTGGAACAAGTTATGATAATCGCGATGATAGTTTAAAATATAGTAGGTTAGGAGCGCAGAGATCTAGTTGTTTAAGGATCTAGGTTAGGTTAATTAGTTATTGCATGGTCTTTGGAATCCTAGTTTTTAATTTTGTCGACACCACCAGTTTTTCGTTTACCACAAATACCGTTTACGATTGGACTTGGATAATTTTTTTTTATTATTAAAAGATTTTTCTCCAATTTTCGATTAAATCATACAAATATAAAACAAATGAATAATATTCAAACGTCAAATAAATTTACTTTTGGAAATCGAAAATCAATGCCAAAAGTAAGAAGTGTTTGAATACAATCCCTCTACGACGCTCTTTCTTATTTTTTTCCCGTTTACTACGTGCTATTTAACTTAATATAATGAAACTTTAAACAACAAAGATAAATTCACAGTTTTTTTCCAATGTGATGTCACTCCAAATTAGTGGTAATTATAATTATTGTGAATGTATATATATATATGACTAAAATAATTAATTGCTTGGTTGTCTATACTGACCTGTCCTCGATTGACGAATCCGTGTTTCTTGGCCAGCCTGTCGGCCTGTCCAACGTCGCCGGCCACCCGGACGGCAAACTGGTTGGTGTATTTGTTAGCGCCGGGAACAGCTGATGCTACTTGTTCGACCAACAACACCAGTATAGGCAACAACAGTAGCATAGCTGCGACGGTGGTCGTGGGCCATTGACGGTGATGAGCGTTCGGCGCCATCGGCACGGCGTGTGCTACTGGTGGTGGTGGCGGCGTCCGTGGCGTTTGCCGGTGCCGGCGCTTATAAAGTGGCAGCGTCTACGTTTGCCGTCGCCCACAACACAACAATATTATATATTATACAGGGTGTTTACCGGATGCGATTAGTGTACACGAGGAGACGGCGATGAAACGCCGGAATACCCTCTTAATATTTGTATATTACCCGTCGCTTAAAAAAAAAAAAAAACCACTCACCCCAAGCCAAACAACAAACACATAAACTCACAAAAAAAAAAAAATGCGACGTTAAACAACAAAGCGCCGACAAGTACAATAGCAAATGTACAAAATGTGAATGCCAAACGACTTTACTAAAAAAAAAAATTGATGTACGACACTATTGTTGTTTTATAAATTCGTATACACTCTCGACTAGTAACTAACGAGTTTACTATATTAAGCTCTAATCCTGTACAGACGGACCACGTTGGACTTTATAGAGACAATCATCATTTAGGTCTCCTAAATTTGAAATTTTAGCACTGCATTTTAATTGGTACTATGTGTCATCTCCACTTTGTCCCATACAAATGGGATGGACCAGTCAATCCTCTCTCTCCACTAATCTCCAAGCGTTATTACGTCCTTCTTCGGTCCACATAAGCACATGGATTTACTTAATACACTCAGGTGCATTTTTAATGTTTAAAATATGAAATTAAGTGTATTAAGCATATAATAATTTTAACATACGAAATTGTAAAAAAAATTACCGCTTCGGAAAATATGCATAAATTATCAAATGTGTATGTGTACAGAAGCTAAAAATGGGTCTTTAAATTATTTTTTATTAAGAAATAGTATTAGCCCGATATATTGAACTTAAAGGCATGTTTAAAAGCGGGAAAAGAATCCCACATTTTAATAAGAACCTCTCAATGTATGGAAATATTATATTTTACAATCATTGATAACTTTTATTTAGTAGTTAATTTATATTAAAACCAGGTAATATTATTGCATATAGAGCACCAAAGGGTATTTGTTTAGTTTATATTGATTTTTTATTGACATGTAATATATTTATTTATATTATGAAATGCACATATAATATTTCATTTATTCTGACCACAAACCAACAAAATTCGTACGAACCATCAAACATTTTAATGAATACTGTGTATTTAATATACTTTATACAGACTTAAATAAATTATGATATTATTTTTAATATAGGTTAAAACATTCATTTTCACTAGAATTAATACAAAGTTTGATTTGATAATTATTTTTCAACTGAATTTTTCGCTCGATGTTAGCATTTATTTTTATTTTTTTAAATTAATACTTTTTGCATTGAACTGTCCAAAATAATAGTTATTGTATCCATTTATTAAATCCATAAGTAATTTTTTATTACATAATTTATAGTAGCAAATTTATAAGCATTGATTATGTTTAAATATCTGTTTGACCACACGTTTGTCTTCTAGATAATTATTAAAATCCCCATAATTAATTAGGAAAACATTGTAAGATCTTAATTTAAAAAAAAAAACAATTTTTATTAAAATAAACTATGGGACGTCTTTGTTACTCGCTTTTCCGTCGCTGCGTGGCATTTATTTGTGTGGAATTGTTTTAAGAATTTTTAACGCAATTAGTGTTTAAACAGTTAAAAAGTTGTTGGTTATATCTAATTTGCTTAAAAAAAAATTGTTGTTTTCTGCAAGTCTATTGCTTTACTTATTACGTTGGACATCCCAGCAGACATTTGCTCCCTACAACGTTCACCCAAATTAACACTGAAGTAGTCAAGAAAGAAATATAATACTGGAAACAATCATCAGTTGACAATTGTTAAACGAACTTCCGTATTTTCCGATGTATCTGCGCTACTGGAGATGTTTCGTTGCTTCATTTTTTTGGGGGGAAATGCTTTTATCGCACGAGTCAGTCATTGTTTACGCTTAGTTCGTTTCGTTAACTGAAAGGCGTTGATAACACAAAAGGGGAAAAGCGACAAATGAAACTTATTGTTCCACAAATGTAAATTGAAATTGAAAAAGACATAATTATTGTAGAACGTCGCAGCAATTGTTCAAACACGTTTAAGCAAGTAGAAAGTTTTTTTTTATTTTGGCTATTGCTTTTATATTTTAGTTATATTTATTTTTTATAAACAAACGTAAGGTACAAGTGACCTTTATTTTAACTAAGTTAATATTTATACTAGTTAATGTGTTATTGATTTTAAATTAGTTTCGCTAACTAAAGAAAACATTTGTTTTTAGAATTTTTTATAAACAATTTATTAAGTTGTGTGTAACAAATATTTTATAATAGAAAACAGTGAATTTCGTTAGTTCCCTATCGGGTTTGACGTGGCTCCGAACTTATTAAATTTCCCACTCTTTGAAGTATCGTGAAAAGATTAGACATTTGGGATATGCGGAGGTCGTATAAAAAGGCACGGATCCGATATTTTTCCCGAGCAAAAGTAAGGCAATAAAAATACAAATATACCTCTACTTCGTTTATAACGGTCTGGAAGTAAGAAGATTTCGTTTTCTGGTGGCAATTCCGATATTTGGCCGAATGATTTGTGAGTGCTCGGAATACAGAAATACTAGGTATTCAAGTTTCAATGATACACTGATACATTTCACACTAAACGTGAACTCAAACTTTATGATATTACTAATATTATTATCTTTAAAATACATAAAAAATGATGGAACAATAACGACTGATACATATTTTTGACTTACAATAATTTCAATAACAAAAAAAATAATATGCATAACAAAACAATTTTCACGATATTAAAAAACTATGATTAGGTTAACCCGGACAAAAATTTATATTTCGCAAATAACTGAAGACTTTGCTTTTTATCAGCGTTTAGTGGGTTTTTCTCAATGTTGCCAAGTATACAAGAGAATATTTTATAACAAAAACTGGCAATTTTTTAGAGTGAAAAATATGATAAAATTATATTAATGTTTAATCGATATAGTTTTTACTACAACCTAACTCAAACATTTTTATCTGTTCACTTATTAAAAAAAAAATCGTTTATCTTTAATGTAAAATATTGAATTCAGTTATTATTTTAATTTTGATTCATAACTAAAATAATTTTTTTCAATCATATTTAAAGATATATATTTTGTCTGTAAAATAAATTGTTTGTGCCCTGTAGTCATTGTTATTACGACATCGTTTATGAACCAGTTACTCGTTTTTCATTACTTGTTTGTTTCATTATTTCGATAAACGATGTATAAATATTATGACGTTTTTTATTCAATAAATAAACGATTTTAACGATACGTAGTGAATAATAATTATAGGTCACACACTATACTCGTCAGCCATTATTATCTCCATTAACTGTGGATTAGTGACATTGTGAGTTGGCTGCGTATTTAATAGTTGTGTTTGTTTTCCTTTATTTAGTACCAAATAGTACGTGTACTACGATGAAGCTCCTAAGAAAGTTTGTTTGGGGTTCTAGGAAACTTTCATTTAATCGAATACTCACTCCTAAGACAAGTATAATCTGGACTATCCTGATTGGAAGCTTCTAGCCTTCAGTAGTGTTGAAATTGGGACTTACCGTAATTAGACTGGAATGAACTAAAAACACGTTTCATCAGAGCCCTTCTTCCGAAATGGGGCTTAAAAAAAACACTATGAGATTATCTGCCGGTAAATAGAGACCCCAAGTACTAAATTAACAAGTAGGGAAAGGTCTATAGGAATAGTGTCTAAATACGTTAAACTTACATTACAAAAACAAAAATGTGTTGCTTGATTCCATGTGCATTTTACGAAACGTCATGTTATGGCCAATAATGCCTTTACACTAAAAATTGAAGTATAAGATTATATTACACAAGTTTGTGTTAGGCATGCACCGTAGTTTACCTTACTTGCAATCTTAAACCAATGTCGACAGCAGCTGTTAAATACATATAAATGCACGCCGGCTTATAAGGACATAAACGAGGGATATAAATCCGTTGGCAACAACAATGCATAAAATGAGTGTAATAGAAAGAGTGCATTTATAGACGGATTTCTTTTATACACAACAACACCCGTTGAAGAAGTTTCATAAAATTTTATATCGCACACTTACGTTCGGCCACAATGACATTTTATATCCATCCGCGTGATACTTTTCTTATAACGTGACCTGAAACACTCCAGCAACCAAAAAACTTAGTGTCTTGGCTGATTTCATATGACATCCTCGCAATTAGCGGTTGTCAACGGGTTTGCCTTAAATACATAAATATAACATATGCCTAGTGGTGATGTGCTAAAGTGATAATATATCTGTGTTTCGTATAAGTTCGTACTATAATAATAAAAATAATACCATTTTCGAAATTATGGCTAAAATTAGAGGCAATCATTCAGATATTTTAGAATTTTTTCTGATAAAATAATTTTGTTTGGAAACACCAAAATATGTTAACCAAATTCAAACTTCATGTTTTTTCAATGAATTATTTCATCGAATAAATTTAACCATTGGCCTATACTTATTTATTTTAATCATTAGAGGAATTATTTTTGTAAAAATATAAAAGAAATACAATGTTACTTTACTTTTTAATAATCTTCTTTTAATTATGTTTTATTAGACAGCAGTTTGAAATTATTTTAGATACTTCATCATGAGAATAAGTAATTTATTTATTTAACTCTAATCAGACGTACTAAGTAGGTCCATATTTTTTAATAAAAATATATTTCTAACGTTCTTCTCTCTAATGAAAATATGCAAAACTTTTATAAAACAAAACGTATAGGTATTTTGGAAAAACTGCAAAATACAGATGCCGTATCACATAAAGTTATATTATTCAATAATTCAAGACACAATGTTATATATGTCATACCAAATTGTTTTTCCAAAGATATATAAAAAATAACGACACAGATGCCTTCAGCCACTAAAGGACTTTTTATGACTATTCTAGTTCTGAATGGTACACAAATCTTGAAGTATTTAGTTC